TTTCAGGAATCGTGGGAATGGGTGGGTGGTGGTTCGGGTGAGAAAGATGAGACGGACGAAATGAAGACAGAAGAGAGTGAAAGATTATCTGTGGAATATTACTGCCTCAGCATTTGCCTAAGTGATCCAAGGAAACCACAGAAAAACTTGGACCAAGGCAGACGGACCCGGAATCGAATCGGCGTCCTCCCGAATGCTAAGCAATGGTCTAGACCTCTAGGCCATGCCGCTCGGTCCCGAAATTTGGTACCTGCTCCCTTTTATAGGGACGCTAGAGAAAGCGCCATTTAGGACACTTCTCAGAAAAGTTTCAAGTACGATGCTAGTTTTATAGCACCAAGTGCACAAAGTTTGGCTTCGTTTTAGAACGGCAAAAAATACAAGAAGTAAATATTACATTTTCTAGTTAAGTTTAAATCTTGATATTTGTTGTTAAATAATGATATGGGATATTTGATGATTACCTAAAGAGATATGAAACGCTTATTAAACTAATAATTCATATGTGGAATATAACACTATGTACCAAACGGGTTCACAACCGAATTAATGAACCATGACATAAGTACACTATATGTATAAAATCATGACATAAGTATCTATGTTACATGTAGATGCTGATCATAAAAAATTACTACATAATGAAAGTTATTTAAATCAATTAGACGTTTTGCAAATTCACAATGGACGCCGTAAATTCACAAATAAACAGTTATAATTAATATACAGTCGACCCTCGATAATTTGAAACTCAAGGGACCAGAGATGAAGTTCAAAATAACAACAGTTTGATCAAAATTCGTGATCTATTATTTCTATATTATTATTATGTAGGTACTAACAATTAAATACAATTATTCACAAATTTTTATTTCGAAAAGAAGTCCGTAATCTTTTTTTGAGTGAGCGACTTCAGTCTATCATTGTCTAAAGAATTTTCGGTAGTGGTGAGAGCTGCAAAGTAATCATCATTCTTGTCGGTTCGGAGGGCGTAGAAGCGTAGGCTAGTAAGACATTTGGGTCTGTATGTAAACAAACGACAAGTCTGTACANTACACTAATACAATTAGTCAGAAATTTTTATTTCGAAAAGAAGTCCGTAATCTTTTTTTGAGTGAGCGACTCCAGTCTATCATTGTCTAAAGAATTTTCGGTAGTGGTGAGAGCTGCAAAGTAATCATCATTCTTGTCGGTTCGGAGGGCGTAGAAGCGTAGGCTAGTAAGACATTTGGGTCTGTATGTAAACAAACGACAAGTCTGTACATCATAAATGCCTCAAATTATAGAGATTAGGGAAGCCTGGACTTCAAATTATCGCATGTTGACGAGCAAGATAGTACTCCTTCAACTTCAAATTACAAAGGGGACCGATTAACATTGGTTTTATTCAATTTATCGAGTATTTTTAAAGGAACCCGAATTAATTAATTAACGAATGTGAAATTATAGGTAATCGACTGTAAATAAATCTCCACTTTCAAAAATAATATGTTTGGGTAGAAAATTAGCGAATATTCACCTACACATCTAATTACGAATCTCATCCAAAATATTATTCTTTAAAAACAAAAGTTTCAATGATGTGTTATATGATACACATTATCGTTATTGAAGCTTACTGTCATGTATGTATATTTTTGTAGCTTCCATTTATCGTTTAACTGTTTACACTTGCATAAATACGTTCCAAGAAAACAGCCACATCTGCATACCTAGTTAGATTAGCTCAACTAAGAATAATAATATTTATAGTCGGTGTTATCACATCACGTTTTTGCTTATCACTTACGTTGTAAGTACATACAGTAACTCTTTATTAGCAACTACAATAGGTTTTACCACGGGGAAATTCTTATGTGTTCCGTGTGAAAATGAAAATAATAGCATTATTGTTCAGGTACTGTGGTATACAGAA